TCAAGGTAGGCTCAATAGGATGATATATACGTTGCAATCTCAGCCGATTGCACAAAAAGCTTGAAACTCTTCTACGCAGTACACGTGAGTCAGTTAAAAAAAAACGTTTTGACTGAAAAATAACAAAAGTGTCATTTTGTGAACGACAAATATTCCAGCTAAAAATGGACTGATTGATGACAGTATTGCTCATCTTTCCACCTGTGTGTTGTTCAAAGTTGCAAAAGTCCTACTCTAAGTAGACAGATACTGTGAAACCCCTCTGCTGCCGGGTTGCATTGGTTCCTCTGGGGATCCCTGTTCCCTAACCGCGAGAGCCTCCGACCCCACGCAAGTGCCGTCTACTTCCTTAAGTTTCCTTCCACTTAAAATCAAATAGAAAACAGTAGATTATACTTAACCTCAACTAATGGTTCAGTGCTATTTGAAGCATTCTGGATAGCAGCTTCCCAGTTGTAGTTTGGGTTGAGGGTTTGTCTTAACTCGGACCACTTTAGCCCCACGTCCTCTAAACAGGTGGAATGAGGAAAATGTCACGATTACACAACACGATAAAAAAATCACAAAAAATTCTTGACCTAGGCCTTAGTGCATGAGCAAAAGTTAGAATTACATGCGCGTACCGACAATAAACTTTTACAGGTTCATCTATAATCTCAATCGTGAGCAACGATAACAACAACGATATCTGTGCACAACGTTGCGTGACGCCACAGGGAACGACTGCGTAGAAGCCTAGGTGATTACTGTTAACTAACCTGAGTCTTCTGTCACCCTACGAAGCACCATGGGATTACATCCACTTAGTCTCTGTTCAGCAAAGATGTCGTCATCTCGCCAATCGTTGAGTAAATCTTTAAAGGGTTCTACACTTGACGCGAAGCGATAGAAGCCAGAACTGCCCTAGATATAGATTGGACGTGTAGAATTGAAATAGAATCAATTTTAATAATTACAATAATTTCAATAGATACAGCGAAAGGAAACAGGCAAGGTAAACAAATTAATTAAAAATAATAACGATAATAATGATTATGATGATAATTATGATGATGATGATGATGATGATGATGATGATGATGATGAAAATAACAACAATATCTTAGACCCTAAAACGGAACCGATTAATCATCATTATTAACTACTCTAAACAGTTTGGCAATACTGTACATGTACAATTGTTAGACACGATCAACCTACAGTATCCAGCTCGGTTGGGTCTATATTCATTTGGCTACCACACCTAGCACCTGAGTTTCGCCAGAAATGGTTGAGCTGAACCGAAGGAGCCGAAGAAAGGGAAACTCTAATTGTAATGTGCAATGATGGTAAGCATCTTCATGTGATTGCAGTACTTTACCCCATCGATCGGTACCTTAAGTGTTTCTTTCACTTGGGGTATAGCTGCACGCTGAACTTCAACAAAGGCGGCGTTTAACCCTTTAAGCACCAATATCAAGGTAAAGATTCTTCAGACTGATCGCCATTCAAATTCTTAGAAAATTAGTTAAGAGAATTTGATACACGCCAACATCAAGGTAAAGATTCTTCAGCCTGATCGCCATTCAAATGCTTAGAAAATTAGTCAAGAGAATTTGATACACGATCGTAAGTGATCATTTCATTACTTCTCGATATTTTTCCCTTGATTGTGTATTGATGTTGTTAAGAGAAAATATATGTTGATTATTCCTGGGGGACTCGAGGGATTACGTTAAAATATGCAAACAACGTTAACCTCACTTACATTACTGCCTATATTCCTCCTGAATTCGTTAAACATATCCTCGTACTCCTCGAACCCAGTTATTTCTGCAGGATGTTTTGCTCTCCACTCGGCCGCAAAACCTTTGTTTTTAAGAAGCATGGACCCATAACCGAGAAAATAATTTTTCGCAAAGTCATCTTGAAGGAAGTAAGCCTTGAGCTGGTCAATGGTCATATTCACCAGAGGCATGGGTAGCGGTGGGCGTGGTGCAAGCTGAAATATGCGTCTCTGTTCGACAAGACCGTTTTCCCTTAGAACTTTACAGTCTGCTGAGGATTTCTGTGGTAGCTTTACAGGGCATTTGGCTGAATCTGCTAAAACGAATGAAGCTGTTTAGCTGCGAACGTAGACACATTTCAGGTTGTTGCTCTTTTCTGGAGCTTAGACGATGTTTTACTAACATTGGGAAATTAAGACAGATTTGCCGCACCATTCAGCATTGTCCGAGAGGAGGTTGTAAGGTACTAGACAAAAATGGATCCTCGATATAACGAACACTCCTTTATTGCAGAGAACGCGGTGTAACTAATGATATTTTTCACCCAAATGATATTAACTATCACAACCCAAAAAACATTAGTGACATTTCACTAATTACATTACTTTACATTGCATTGCGTTCTATTACAACATTACATTACATCACTTTACATTACATTCAGTATTCACTCACGCAGGTCATGTAGAGTCAGTAAAACTTTGACGATGAACCTAAAACTGTTATCAATTGTTTGAGGTCACTCTTTGTAGAACTGGGGAAAGGAGGTGCAAGCACCTTTAACAAGCCAAGTTACTCCGACCCAGAGTTACTAGAATCGAATTATTGGAATCTAAAATTCAAATATCGTAAAAGTCACTTAAGAGTCAAGATCACTTCTGTATCCATACCCTTGTTTCCTGCCTTCTTTGAACTTCTCTTCTCTTTGCTCTTTTCATTGACACTGTTGTTAATGGAAAAATTCAACAAGAGTGATCCTCTATTAACAAGGGTATTTGTCGCCCCATGTAAGGTAATCCGGATTGCGGAATCAGTGAAATTGTTTTCTAATGGAATTCGGAATCCCGGGCTTTGGAATCTGGAATTAGGCTGAAGAATCCTAAATCCCGCTAACGATTGGAATGAATCCGGAATCCAAATTCTACTAACAAAAAGTCCAGTTCAGGAGCCGATCCGCTCCTGTCCAGATCCATGTACCTGGAATTAGGAATCCACAGCTTGGAATCCAGAGTCCAAGTTCCCCTGACAAAGACTGGAATCCAGTACCTTGGAATCCGAAATCCACAGTGTGGAATCGAGAATCCAAGACTGTCTTGGGTCACCCTGCACGGGGCGATATCTGTAAGTCTGTTAATGTACGTTCTTGTTCTTGGTGGCTTCAGAAGTTTTTTGATTCAATAGACAACTGAGACAATAGTTATGGCTCAGGTTATATTTTACACTTTCGTACGTAAAGGATAGCTACAGAATAAAGTTTAGGGGAGAGGGGATCGACAGATGGAAAGGGCGGGTGGGGAGACTTAAAAAACAATGGATTTAAGCCATTAAAAGGAACTGTATTTCAAAGATTCTTCTCAATTGACCGCTTTCCTGTGTCATTTATATCGCCCTAGGGGATTTTACATGTCAAAATAATTCATACGGTTGTCTACCTTTTCCCGAATATCATTTCTCCAGTCAGAAGCAACAAGGTTAATAAAGAAACCCGCATGGTTAAGATTCAACTTGGGACAATGATGGTCGTTCTAATTGGCTATACAAGAGAAAAGAAAAGAATGTAAGTGATAAAAATAGCATTTGAATCTAGTTTTGTTAACACAATCTCGTCCTCACGATGAACATGACGAGGTATGAAATGACCAAAATCAAGTTCATTACATTTATATTTCGACATCTGACATCTTATTGCTCATCAGAATTACTACGGCGAGGTCCAAAGTGAAGAAAATTAACTTCACTGTGACCCATCCATGAAATTAAATTCACGACATTTATATGTCAAGACTTGACATCCTATTTCGCTATCAGAATTGCTACGGCGAGGTTTAAAAATGACCAAAGTCGACTTCACTGTGAACCATCTTTCACGCTTTTGCTTATGAACCTTTCCTTCTGCCATCACACGATTTTGTCTCCTTCACACGACCTTTTCTAGCGGTAATGTTGTTTTTCACGGTTTGAAGAAAAATCGAGAACGGAAAATACCACTGACGGAGGACAAATGGTGAGCATTATTCCGACGAGATCGAAGGGAGGCGGTTCTACAACTATGCTTTGCTGAGGTGGCTGGACTTTTCTGTTCGCAGGAAAAACCCTGTGTTTTCTAAGATAATAATTACAATGATGTTGATGATGATAATGATGATGATGATGAGAATGATATATCAGGGACAAGGGCTAAATAATTTTGCAGAGCAACTGGTCCAATTGATGTACTGACGTGAATAATAAGTTATAATAGAGCTCAAACTGAACAAATACGAAATATCACAACACTGTACAAAACAGAACGGAATTATTTACAGTTTTCAGTTCACAATTTACATTCAATTTGCAATATTTACATTTCTATCGACAATATTTTGATTCCACTTGTCCCTTTTTAGTCCTTTCTAAAAGGTGGCAGTAAGCTTTCATTAGCTCCCAGTTCATATAGCACGATATTCACTGATATTCCGTCATCAGTTAGAAAGAACCGAAGGGACTTACCTACCTTCCTAAGCTCGTGTGGAAATTGAATTCTTCGAAACGGTTACCGTAAAGATAGGTGGGCTCTTCGCGCTTTCTTGAGTGTGAAGAAGGACTGACAGAGAATCTGTGTAGGAAAAACAGCTAACATAACATGTTTCGCTTAGTCTATGTTTGCATCTCTGGAGTTACTAGGAAACCGAACCCTTTCAGCAAATTCGCATTCAGACTTCCAACCGTGTCTAACAGAAAAATTATGACAAATATTGGTCAAATAATTAAGCTGCCAATTTTTTGACCTATCATGAGACAATCTTTTCTTGTTTAAAGTTTGACTGGTATGAAAATGCTTCCAACAAGAGCAATCAAATATCTTATTTGTTTCATTTGCTTTATTATCATTTTTGTCATACAGACAAAATATAAAAATCTAAAAAAAGATGAGGTAAGGGAGCCCAAGGAAGCCAATAAGGCTTGTGAATAGGAGTCCACCTTTTAAAATTGTGTCATCTAATTAATAAATAAAATACTGACATCGGCAAGACA